CAATCCCTGCGGAGTCGATCGAGTTGACAGCCAGGCAGCGAGTGCCGAGTGGGTCGTCGAGTGCACTGAAAGAGTCTCTTAGTGTATCGCCATTAGTGCATTGTCGAGAGAGCGTGTTGAGCTCTGGGAACGACTGAACAGAAGAGTCGGGAGCTGTGCTCTGTGTCTCGACGAGTGCATCGTGAGTTGTAACATGGAAAGTCTCGAGAGTACGTGGAGTTCCAAGAATGACCACCAAGCAGAGTCGAGAGCTGTACCCTAGAGCTATGCTGTGAAGCTGTCTCCACCCTGATAGCCTGATAACCTGGTGGCTGTGACATTGATCATGTCAGCGTGTTTATAGTAGACTTTCGACGACTGTAAAAGTGTTTTGGAGCTGTACTGATTAATATGGGTAAATAAAGTGTGTTTCGATACTTCATCAAGTGTCATCTTTATTCACTCCAAATCTACGAACCCCGTACGAACTTGAAGGAAGAGAAAAATGCACGTGCTAATGAAAACATTGGCGTGTCTGATTTATATCAAATTCCTTTTTTTATTCTATTTTTCCTTTACTGTGTAAGGTCTTTAAGGGTTAGTATGTGGAGTATTGTTACGTTTGGTTCAGTTATATTTCCGTTTCTTCTCTCTTTATTTCGGAAAGCCTCACCTCCAGTCTATTACGACGGGATGGTGCTATTTATCAGAGGAAGAATACCCTCGTATGATCAATGAACCATTTATTAACGCAGATGAGAGTGATGATTCATTTTCTAAAGAGTTAGAAAGTGACACTTTTTCTAAGAGTTAGAAAGTGACACTTTTTCTAAGAGTTAGAAAGTGATAGTTCTCCGTACTTCGAGATTTACCACAGTCTTCATTGTGTTGTTTTATTAATTTAAAACTTTATTGATGGATTTTATCAATTAAAACTTTGGAATAATTTGAATAGCGCTTCTGAAAATCTTCTGAAAATTATTTTACAAGATAAGCATTTTTTAAGTATATTTTCATGTAAAATAAAAAAATAAAAAAAAAAAATTAAAAAAACGTTATTAAGTGCTAATTTTAACATATGCAAGAGCTCAAGTAATAATCTAAAATGATACCAAAAATTACTATGCTAAAAGCGAAACTTTTTTTTATAAAATTAGGCTTAGCGATGCAAAACCTCCGTCCTGTACGGTGACTGCCTTCGATTCCCTTCCGTCCCGCATGAGCGTCTTAAACAAAGGTGCGCCGTCGCGAAAAGGTTAAAGAAAATTTTTGAAAAAAGAGTAATATTTAAGTCTTTATTTACTGCTCATAATGCAACTGTTAATCGTGCTCTTGAGGCTATTTATCAAATTTCTTTACTCATCGCTTAATCTTGGAAAAGCCATACTATAGGGGAGAATTGAATCAAACCATCAATATCAGCATTTAAAACTAGAAAAAGATGAAAGATTCTCTAGAAAAAGATGACAATGACGTTAAAGCTATGCCACTAAATAACAATACTGTTTGCAGAAGAAAGATTAAATGAGGATATTGAAATACAACTTGTTGAAAAGCTGAAAAAAAAAATTCGGTGCAAATAGATGAACCAACTTTGAGAGACAGTGAGGCTGTACTTGTAACTTATGTAAGATATATTCATAAAGGATTGTTGATTCATAAAGGATTGACTTGCAGAAGAGATGTTTTTCTGTAAATCATTAGAAAGCACCACTACCTCCAAAGATATTTACAGTAAGCTACAAAATTACTTATATAAAAAAATATACCAATAAAAAATATAATACATCTTGTGCTGCAGATGGTACTCCTAATATGATGGTTGAAAAATAAAATAAAGCAGGGAATAAGAAAAAGGGTTGCTTAAAATTGATAAAATATGAGAATCCAGAAATGCTTCTTGTGCATTGTGATATTCATGGAGAAAACCTGGGAGCTAAAAACAATTTGCCTGTTCTAAATGAAGTACTAAATTCAGTTATAAAATGTATCAATGCTATTAAAGCTAGGGCCAAATGTGAATGTCTTTTCAAGTTATTTTTTGAAGAACAAAATGAAGACTATATGAGACTTGTACTTCACACTGAAGTAAAAAGGCTGTCGAAAGGGAACTGCTTGGAAAGATTTATGGAATTATTTGATACTCTTAGTTATTTTATAAGCGACAAACCTGGAATGAAAAATCCGTTAACGGATGATAACAAGGCAATTGTGGGTTATTTAGCCGATATCTTTGAAAAATTAAATATATTAAATAAACAGCTTCAAGGAGCAAATAAAACTTATGTCGATGCAAAAGGAAGATATTTGGTTTCATTATCTTTGTTGAATTATGTCAGGCATATACTATTTACCACAAAAATTTTGAAAAGTCTCCTTGGCTCTAAAAATGTGACGTGACTACCGCTATACTTGTTATTGTCGATCATCTGAAAAATTTATCGGCTGATTTAAAAGATATTGTAACTTAAAAAAAATTGATTTCCCAACTTGGATGATGCAGCTAATGCTGGTGGATTTGGCTGATATTTCAAATATGCAGTAAAAAGAACTCGCAGAAATGCAAAATGATGATTCAATTAAAACTTTATTTAATATAAAAAGAAGCGATGACATAGCTCTGTGAGGAAACCAGAATCAGATATCCAAATGCAACAAAATTTACAAGAGAACTATTGTTACTGTTTCCATCTTCATATTTTGCTGAATGCGAATTTAGTGCCATAAATGATTTGCTGCTAAAAAAAAAAAAAAAAAAAAAAAAAAAAAAAAAAAAAAAAGAAAGAAAAAGAAAAGAAATCAGTTGGATATAATGAAACCAGGAGACTTGAGACTCAAGTTATCTAAATTGGAACCTGACATAAAATTTTTTTGCAGCAAGTATCAAGCGCAAGGAACTCGCTAAATTTAAATAATAAAAATTACTAATACTTAAAATGAAAAACTTTCACTAAAATGAGTTTTTTCTTGAATTTCAGTTCTTCACGTTTTTAAAGTTCACTTTCTGTGTTTGCTCACAAAATTTCATAGTCATTTCCTCCTAAAAGCTATCATTCAAGTTTCTTTCATGAACATTTCAATTTTTAAATATTAAAAATTATGTATATACTAGGGAAAGCTTAAAAATTTTAGAGAGGATTAGGTGGGGCATAGCACAAAAAAGGTTGAGGAAACACTGATTTAAAGTTTAATGCCCACCAGTGGCCGAGCGGTAAAGTCGCTGAACACTGGTAGTTCGGTCTGAGGTTCAAATCCCGTGAATGGGCTGGCTGCATGGGCATTTTCATGGTTTTCCCCATGTGTAACGTGTATACAAGCCAGTTTCCCTTAGAAAGTCCTTCACGAAGGCCTCCCTTCCCCAAGGCAGATAGTCCTCGAGGCTTTGCCATAATCACAGACAAGCAAACAAACAAAACAAAATTAAAGTTTAATATTTTAAAGTATAGTATAAATAAATGCATAAATTTAACTATATATTTTTTACTAAACCTCCACTTAAAATCTTCTTTGCAGTTGCACTATATTAAGTTACTGTGAATAGGTGGGCGGTATAGAAATTTTACTGCCAAAGTGGGCAGTAGATATAAAAAGGTTGACTACTCCAGCTCTATAAAATCACTAATCAACAGCACGATTTCCAGTCAGGGGTTAATTTATAATATGCTAAAATTATATAGATATATATATTTTTAATATTTTAAAAACACTAATCATTAACAATAACTAAACACTTCCTCCTTATTTTTACAACCCCCACTATAAAATCACCAAGATTATTACAAAATTCATATTTACTTCTCATACAGTTCCTGGTTCCTATATTTTCATGGTTGTTTTAAAATACCCCAAAATCATTTTCTTGTCTTAAAGACTTTTGCTACACAAATTCTGCAAGGCAGGACTCAAGACGGCAATAAGGTGTGCCTTGTTGCTTTTTATTCTTCATTTAGTAGAGCTCCACAGTCTTTCAACATTTTGTGTATGAGCAGTCACTGCCAGATCCACAAAATGAAATTTATGCTTCACAGTAAAATGAATGTAAACTGCCTTTTCATTCTGGTTTGTATGCTTGACTAAAATCCAAAATAAATTGTGAATCCCTCTTGTACATGGTCAATGACTTTTGCGAAGCACTTACCAGTTCCTTCGCTTGACCTGCCAATATGCCCGTTGTGGAAGAACCCTACAGTTACTGCTTTTTCGATGGATGAATATACTTTTGCTGTTTCTTCAGGGCCACCTATTCATGTACTTGGCTGTCAGATTAAATGTTGAAAACAAACCTCTTTCATAAAAATGTTCCAGCAAATAGCTGCAATTTTGCAAAGGTTGAATTGCTCTCATACCACTTATTTGATGTCAGCTTTCTTCCCAATAAAATATGAATTGAAGCACTATTATAAACAGTATTTTGGAGCTTCAGAACCAGTTATCAAAACATATTTCTCTCTTTTGCTTCGAACTTTTTATGTTGCACCTCCAAATGCTTACATTAATACAGAATTTCACAGAAACATTTGCATATTCAAATACAAGGTAAAATGCTTTCTGAATGAATGGAAGAATGTTATAGTGCCTTCGTCATCATCAGTAAATTAGAAAGTGTTACGTTCTTTTTTTTTTTTTTTTTTAATTTAAAAAAGTTAACACACTGCCTAATCACAACTTTGCTTGTGGCAAGTGCTCACTGCTAGAACTGCTGACTGTTTGGCAATGGTTTAACACATGTTGGCAGTTCACAAATAGTCTTGGTGACATTTAAAACAGACAGCCATAAAAATAAGAAAATACCTGATAATCTAATAATTTATATTAGTTTAAATTACCTTTAGCTCTTTATTCAAGTCAAATTATTTAGTTTGTCATTCTCTTATCTTATAATCATCCATGTATAAGCCATACAAAATTTGTGCTACACAACAGAAATTAACATATTGCAAAAATATTATAATTAAAAATATGCTTTTGATAAAAAATTAAATTAGGGCCAATATAAAATAATCAATAAATTCTGAACTCACGAATCATTTTCATCAACATCTGGAAGTATGTTCCTTGTGCATTGAAGCAAGTAATTACGTAAGAAGAGTCCACGAAGAGGGTGCTGTACACCTCTGCACATTTCAACTACATCTTTTAAAATATCTCTTTTAGAGTGTTCATTTGTTTTCATATAAATGAGACCCACAGTAATGAGCAAATACCTATAAGCAAAAGTAAACAATTTTCAAACATAACACATGCTATAAGAATTTTTTCAAAAAGTACAACAAAAATAACAAGACTGCTGCATACAATATACTTACCCAGATAGCCTATTACTTTTGAGTTTTTTCATACAAAATTAATTCCTGTTGAATTTTAATTTTTGAATACATACTTTATACCATCTCAGAACAAAAAATGTAATTACCTCCTTTCAACAGAAGAAATCACAAATTTGTGCAAATAGGCAGGAAAGAATATAAACACTATTTAAAGTATTTCAATCAGTAAAACAGATGTAGCAAAAGTACAATACCAAGTCAAAAAAGGGGGACAATTCTATATTTCCTGTTCTACTAGTTGTTCCTTGAAAATCAACTTGTATTTTATCATGTCTTGAAAGTGTAACATAGTATACATATTAGATTTATATACAGTATTGTTCTAAAATAAGTATTTTGACACAAAATTGGATTTAACATGAAATGACATAATTATTCTTTTCCATACTTTTATTCTACACCATAAATTATGCCAAACTTCCATGTTTTGTAAAAATCACAGCAGCAGTATTTTTTTAAAACTAACCCTCAAAATTCTGTGCAATTTTAAATGAATTTGATAGATATTTAATATTATCTATTTTCAAATTATACTTGATTTATCCTTTCATAATTTGAAATTTAGTTTCAATCCATCTAAAATTCACACAAATCTTCATTTATTTTAATAATTTGTATTATTAAACAATTTTTATAATTTTCTGAAAAAACTTTTGCCTTTATACCCTATAATAATTTTAACACCACTTTAAAGCAGTAGCCATACTAAAAAAAAAAAAAAAAAAAAAAAAAAAAAAAAAAATAGTGATTTTTATTTAAAAAAATCTGGATATATATGAATTCATACATTGGCAGATTTTGAAATTTGGCATCTTTGTTGCAATTTTTAATTAATGGCCACAGCTATTTTTACCCTTAAATTTCCAAATAAATTTTTACTGAGAATTTTTATATGAATTCTCATTTTTACTAATGATACACAATAAATATTTATTAATAATATATGAAAATGGATTTTTTAAATTATAAGAAATATTAATCAAATTGTCAGTATAATTATTCTTTTTTGACATTTGTTAAAGTAAATTTTTCCCTTCGCCACATTATCACCCACTGTTTTTACTTTAACTTACCTTATATTGAACTTTCTAAAACTGAAAAAATTGTTTTGGTAACAAAAAGTTTAAAAAGTAACTAATGTCAAGTCCCTTTGAAGCCAGATGTCATTGCTGTCATTGCTACTGTTTACAAAAGAATATTATTACTCTTTTAATTGCTTAAATGGCGAAGCAGAATGAGTGTGATTGCCTGAGTGTCTTCCACAAATGAGTAAAATAAAGATAATGAGATATTATAATTTTGTTAATTAGTTTAATTAAGAGTAACAGTCCATTTTGGATTCGCTGGACCAACCGATATAATTAAAATGATTCAGTTTTCTAAAATACAAAATTTGCTGTATCAAAAGAATACTCATTCAGTAAAATTTTAGTATTTTATAAAGTACAATTATTTTGATTAATGGTAAGTGAAATAAATTTGTTTTATTATGTAATTAATTTAAAAGCTTTTTTGTATAATTAAAATAAACAGCAAATTACTGTTGCTACCTCAAAACATTATGTACAAAAGAAAATACACTAGATATTTCAAAGCACATTCCAAAATATGTAGACCCACCAGCGGCCAAACGGTAATGTCACTGAACACTGGTAGTTCGGTCTGAGGTTCGAATCCCGCGAACGGGCTGGCTGCATGGGCGTTTTCGTGGTTTTCCTCATGTGTAACGTGTATACGAGCCGGTTTCCCTTAAAAAGTTCTCCACGAAGGCATCCCTCCCTTAAGGCAGATAGCCCTCGAGTGCTTTGCAGTAATCTAATAAACCAAACCAAAATATGTAAAATTTTTAATAATGTTGATTTCTGAATTAAAATTCTAGAATGAATGCCAAAACATAAATACAGATTGAAGCATTACACGTAAATGCAAATAAAAGCTAAAAACTTGAATATCTCTTTACAACTAAATATAGTAAGGGGATTTAAAGAATGAAGATTCATCATTACATGTGTTTAGGCAATTAGTAATTACATAAATTAATAATATTCATATCTGAACTATTTTAAAAATAGAACCTTTGCCTCTTGAATGTGTTGCCTCAAAAATGTGTCATTGTTTTGATTTTAAACTAAATTAAATGTTTCAAAATTTACGCTTTGGTCTTTTTCCCAAAATCTAATTGCATCATCTTTAATAGATTGTTTGAATATGGCAAAGCATTCAAGAGTTACCTCCCTAAGGGAAGTAATGATTTCATGGAAAACTTTCTAGAGGAAACTGAACCTCAGATTCGAACCTCAGACCGTATTCATATTGCACTTGGGGAAGCTACAACTACTCATTTCCCTTGGTTCGAATCCATGATGAATTATCTGTATTCAGTGAACTGGTCAGACACTGATGAATCCCTCTTAAATTAGCAGTCAGGTTATTAGGTCCTAATTTACTAATTGATTTGTAAATATTAACATTATTATATTCTATATCTAATAACATTATATTTGGATTATAGTGGGTCACAGAACATTCTTTAAAAAAAAAAATGCAGCTCAAATAAATAAAACCAAATTCTCAAAACAATTCTATGAAAAAACATATTTAAAGGACACTTAAAAGGACATATTTAAAGGATATTTTTTATTTATTTCATACATATCTTATGCTGAAAAATATAATTCAATAATGTAACTTAAAAAATTAAAATCAAATTTTAAAAAAATCTTTAAAAAGAAATCTGAAAGCATTCAGATTTTATACTATGCCTAAAGGAGCATTTTTTTTAACATTTTGTGTGTTTCCTTTATTTATTAAATACAGTCAAAAGTCTAATCCGGACATCCATAATCCGAAATGATCTATACTCCGGACACCTCAAAACTACAAGCATTCTGCACACGCGTAAACGCATAATGCCCTTATGCATGCGCATAATACCTTTATGCATGTGCATAATACGTTTACGCATGCGCGTTTAATGTATAACGGATGGTATAAGCTAAGCTAAAATTATCTAATTATGCATTTCAGTTAATGTTGCAGATTGCATTGCTCCTCAATCTTCTAACTGGATCCGGCTTAATATTTTTTGCAGACTGACAGAGCGATTTTATAAAAGTAGGCTTGAACTTTCGATTATGTCAAAAAGAATTTCCGATTCTGGAGCTACCAAAGAATCTACAAAGCGAAAGCATGTTTCGAAGTCCATCAAACAAAAAGTGGAATTGCTGCAAAAAATGGATAAAGGCATATCCTCTGTTTCTCTAACCATTCTGAAATCTGTTTATCAATTTCACGCTGCTCTTGGAGGGGGGGGGGGAACGTTGCACCGTGCAATGAACTGGAAGTTGATCTGTCAGCACTATCCTTCTTCAGGGCAGATGTTTTTAATTTATTCGGCTTATAATTCCTTACTAAACATGGTATTTCATTTCAATGTACTCCGTCTTTGATATGATTTAAATCAAATTCCTCGTCATCATAAATATCACGAATACACACCAATAATTTTCTGGTTGCAATTTTCTAATTTCGACTATGCGTAATGTATGCTTTATGCATGCGCGCGTTTAAAGAAATGTTTAATAAAGTAAACAAATAAATATTAAGCTTTTTTTTTTCATAAATTTGTTACCCTTTAGATCATAATTGCTCTTATTTTCATAAATTACAGTTTCATATTTTTAATTTTATAATTTCTGCATGCCATCTTACCAAATTTAAACTGACGATCTATAATCTAAAAAACCAAAAATCTGGAATCGCCGAATTCCCCGACGAGTCCGGATTAAAGACTTTTGACTGTATCATGTTCTTCACACTTAAACCATAAAATTCAATTCAACAGCAATATCACAAATTGATTTAAAAAGAGCATATTTTTAAAATTTCCAATACACAGTCTCACGCGCTGGAGATAAAAATGCTCTTTTTTGTACAGCATTGCCTTTGCTCATTTTGAAATCATTGAGTTTCTTAATCAAAACTCATAATTGCTTTACACAATATGAAATTTATAATAAAATTCTAAATTTGGGCTTCCAGATGCCCACATTCGAGTGGGCATATTCGTTATTCAAAATTTGATTGCTCTAGGTACCGTTGTTTTATCACAATTTGAGAGACATACATATATGTATGCAGACACTTCATTATTTAATTTCTTTAAATATAATACACGATAATATTTTGTGGCAAAAATTTGAAAAGTGATTCAGACCAAAGTTTTTGACTCAAAATGGCAAAATGAAATTAATAGCCCTTCAGGCCTAATAACAACAGCAATTAAATATATGGAACTACTCTTATATGCACCCTCAGGTCGCCAAATTTCTCGCCAAACATTTTTGCCAAGAAAAATCCCGCCACCATATTACTACCCAAATTTTTTGTCTCCACTTCCAATTTTAAGCCTAAAATGTCTCCAAAAAGAACTGACAGGAATCCATGTACACAGCGATATGTTTTAACTTAAAAAAACATCTACAAATTGCACATTCTAGACAGCGAAGGAATCTACAAACTACGCACACCTCTCTTCAATAAATTAACATAACAAAAATAATTTTCAAAAATATCATGTACACAGCATTCTGTTTAAACTCAACATCTACGAATTGCACAATCTAGGCATTGCGCACAAATCAACCAAATAAACTAAACTACATTACAAACAATTCAAAAAGCAACAATAACAACAGAAATTCATAGTAAAAAAAAAAAAAAAAAAAAATGAACATAACATTCTACAAAATAAAATGCACTTACCATAATACATTCATAAATAAAATTTTGCCAGTCACACAATGTCTCTGAACAAAAGTGCCACGATTTTGCGATATCACATGTCTTTCTAAGATTCAAAATTTCGAAAGTAAAGATAAAAACTTTTTCCAAAGTTAACATACTACACGAAAACCTCAATCCAAATCTTAAACTCCGCTGACAGCCACATACTTTACCAGCAACCATTTCACTGCAAATTCACACAAGAACTATCAGAAATGCCCTTCTTCGTCCGAATTCTTATAGCAGCTCCGTATTTCGGACTCCATTTTAAAAGTCCCACAGAAATTCCAAAAATACATTTCAATCCTCATAAATACACCCGTGAACAAAAGACTCGATAACAACTTCAACATCGTACCTTTAATACTAAATTTACCTTTCACACAATATAAAATATGCGATTGAAATCTAGCCACCACATCTATCATTGCAACATAGGCCGTTTCAAAACACACATGACACGAACCAACGAGCAATTAAGCCACTACAACAAAAGATTTTTCAACATCAACAGGGTTGCCATACAACACACAATTGTACCAAAAACCAGCACAGAACACACATCGCCACATTTGGTGATATTAAAGCACATATAAGAGTAGAGCCAAATATATATATATATATAATATAAAGTATAACTGTAAACAAAAAAAAAAAAAAAAAAAAGATTTTGTGTGTGTGTGTGTGTGTGTGCGTGCGCGCATGTGTGTGTGTGTTTGTTTGTTTGTGTACGGAATGAAAAGGAAAATGGTTGCCATAAACTGAGAATTTCACCAAGTGAATTATTCTTGACACAAAGTAAAAGTGTATGAAGCTGAGTTCTTGAATTACGCCTTATATTTCTCCCCAAAATTTACAAAATTTGGCATTTGGACATAATTGGATTTGTAGAGTCGAAATATGGGAAAAAAATTGGCATGTCACTTCAGAAAAGTCTGATTTTAAGTCAAAATATATATGTTAGAACAAAGCTATATCTAAATCTAAGTTACACTTTTGAGACAGAAAAATGCAGGTTGAATTTCGTAAATGCGCTGAGTACAGGGGGATTCTTTGACTCGGTGTACATTTTATCAACACACACGAAAGGAAATAAGTAAACTTCATTCTAATACAGCAGTGCATAACAACGAGAAAAAAACTGGATATTTCTATCAAGAATATCAAAGCAGATGATATATCCAATAGATGGAACCAGGTATAATTGTGGGTTTATACCCATATTTTGCAAGATATGTACAATTATGAACATATCTTGCAAAATATGGTGATTTCTGATGAATAATTAGATATGTACAATTTATCTTCACAAACATCCAATCTATAATTGGTGTTTATATACAGTAAAACACATAACCGCTTTTCCTACATTTTAAATAAGTTGGTTTTCATTATCTTTAATAAAAAAAATGTTTTTAAAATTTCTTGATATATCGTCTAAAAAGTATAATGCAAGTTTTGATAAATTTTACTTTTATTCAAATGACTTTTCCATTCTCTTTCAAATGTGATATTAATTAGGTAATTAAAGTTTTTATCTTAAATATTTAATCCCTACCCAACCAGCATGCATTCGTTAACTGCAAGCCAAAAATATTTGCAATTTACTAATGACCTTCCTACAAAATCTTAAAAAACCTCAATATAAAAATATAACAAGTGCGAAAAAATAGTAAATATTCACATATTTTAATATTTCAGTATGTGTACGTAAAATTTAGGTACATTCATAAGATTGGATGTTATGTGTTTTAATTAATTTAATGTTTTATTTAAAAAATTATGATTTTCTTTCATGGGCATATTTTTTTACCCGAGTGAATACTTTGCAATAGATTCGGATCATTTAATAAAACGTCATGAAATTTCTCACATGTTTTCGCAAGAGGTCTAGATGAAATAATTGAATGAAAATATAATAATAATAGAGCAAGTAAAGATTTCTCAAGTCAAATTACAGGATACTTATGTATTTGAGCAGTCCCCTTGATGCAGTTAGGCAAATTTTTAAGAAGAATGATGACTTATAATTGCAAAAAAAATTATTTATTTCATACGTATCTTATCCTTTAATTAGGTATTTAATCCGAAAAATGATCAATAAACTTTTACATGATACTTTTTTTTAAAATTTTGATAAATATTTCATGACAATCACTTTAAAAATAAACTCAAAGCAATTGTTCGCTTTAGTGATTTTAGAGCAAAATATTTATATTCCGGAAAACTACACTCTAATTTCTTCTACAACAGGCAAATCCCACAAGGGTATATTTTAAAACTGTGTTTAATGCAAAAAATATATGAGTTGTCTATAAAAACATCGGGACTTGAAATACAACAAAAAGAACGGACAAGAAAATAGTGACATTGCAAATTAAAACTGATGAACTATTCTGCACATCATTGTCAGAATCTGACACTTTTAAACATTTGATGATTTCTATCAAGGTGATTGCACTGATATATACATACCAGCTATAGAAATGCCACCTATGAATTTTCAAAACTAAACAAAACATATAAAAAATAATGTTTAAATGATATCAGACAAATCAGTTTCCCCAAATCATTTTCTAGCACTTATTTATCACACTGTACTTTATTTATACTTTATTCTAATACAAAATTTAGTGCATCTTGTTCTTCAAAATGCTTTTTTTGGGGTACTTTCAGATTATTAATCCAACCCTCCTAAAAAGTTGCCAATCACTGTTGAATAAATTTTTGCCAACCTAATGTATGCAAAACAAGAGCCATTTTAAAAAATGAAGGTCTACTGTAAATTTAGGCATGACTGGAAGGCCTTAATTAAGAAAATTAAAAATGCATCAACTATCCCTAATTAAACATCCCCCAGTCTTCTGCCCACGTTCAGCAGAAATGTGCTTTAATTAAAAAAAAAAAGAGAGAGAGAGAGAGAAAATAGCAGAATTCTTGATGTAGCAGAACAACTTAGCACAGCTCTCTGTGTGCAAAACAATCTGCTTTTAATTTAAAAAAAAAAAAAAAAAAAAAAAGAGAAAATTGTATAAATTCAGCTAAAACTATGATTACAATCACCTAAGAACAAGTGGTAGATTACTTTCAAGGCAAAGTTACCTGTTTACTATAATCAGGTAACTCTAGATACGCAAGAGCTAGCTAAATGCACCATTTGTATGCATTCTTAGTACTTTAACAATAATAACAAGAAGTGCTTCATAATAATAAAAATATTCATACCCGAAAACAAAAATCCTAATAATTAGGAAGGTGATGATGTCTCAGAATTCTCACACTGGCATATAAATTCAGATGTTTACCATGGATTACCAACTTTGATTACAAATTTCTCCATTCTCTCTTATTAGACAAAATGCCATGTTTATAAGGAAATGTAACACTTCATAGCAGACACACTCAATACTACCAGTACCATTCCGTACCCCCACCCAAAAAAATAAATAATTAAAAAGAACATACACTGATCAGAACAATCACAAACTACAAACAAGCCTCTAACATTTTAAAAGGTGATTACATTAATTCCATACTGTAATGTACATGCAACTATACCTAGGCTGCCACATGAACACATTTTCACATTACCACATACTTACTTTGGAAACATACTGCCTGGTGATTCTTATCACAGTTGGGCAGATAATTCAAAAGTAATTTTTTTAATTAACATTAGACATAAAAAAAACGAATAGAAAATAACCTATACTTACAAACGAGGAATAATATTGCCAGCATACTGTACAAGCTCATACAAGTCTGCAACTCTCCTTCCTTTCTGAAATTCATCTAAAAGGTATAATTCTAAATGCCGCAATTCATCTGATACAGTCATATCTGATTTTTGGTTAATTTATCATAAAAAATGCTCATGAAAATAAAGGAATTTCAAATTACAATCCAAACAAAATAATATATGCAACAATAATGGATAAGAAAATTAGTTCATATTATTCCATAATAAATTTTGTACTCAAGTATTATACCATCAACCAATGGTGGAAATTTCAACAACAGTAGCAAAATGTGAATCGTAACTGTGGAATTGTAAAAGACACAGTTATTCAATGTTGCCACTAAATCGTGCTATTTGGCTGGTCAATGATATAATGCATAAGTACGATAAATTTAGATGTACATAAAGGAAACTGATGAATTTTACCTCAAACACAGAAACAAATAGCTATAAATAGAAATAATTAGCATATATTTGCATAAAATTTTAAAACTTAAATAATTACTTAAGAAATTTCTTATAAGGTCACTAAGCTTCTTATACCAAATTAAGGCTTCTCAAGCTAGAGATGACACAAAAATATTTTGAATCATAAAAATATTTGATACTTCTGATGAATAATTAGATATGTACAATTTATCTTCACAAACATCCAATCTATAATTGGTGTTTATATACAGTAAAATACATAACCGCTTTTCCTACATTTTAAATAAGTTGGTTTTCATTATCTTTAATAAAAAAATGTTTTTAAAATTTCTTGATATATCGTCTAAAAAGTATAATGCAAGTTTTGATAAATTTTACTTTTATTCAAATGACTTTTCCATTCTCTTTCAAATGTGATATTAATTAGGTAATTAAAGTTTTTATCTTAAATATTTAATCCCTACCCAACCAGCATGCATTCGTTAACTGCAAGCCAAAAATATTTGCAATTTACTAATGACCTTCCTACAAAATCTTAAAAAAACCTCAATATAAAAATATAACAAGTGCGAAAAAATAGTAAATATTCACATATTTTAATATTTCAGTATGTGTACATAAAATTTAGGTACATTCATAAGATTGGATGTTATGTGTTTTAATTAATTTAATATTTTATTTAAAAAATTATGATTTTCTTTCATGGGCATATTTTTTTACCCGAGTGAATACTTTGCAATAGATTCAGATCATTTAATAAAACGTCATGAAATTTCTCACATGTTAAAATGTAACTCTACACATCTCATAAGATTTATAAACAAGAAATATTTTGTTCACCTTAGTTTCCAGGCAAAGAGTTTAGAGAAACGTGTTATAAAATTTTCCTAAAAACGATAATACCTTGCAAATATACGTAATAAAATTTTAAAATGCATCCAAATATTAAAATTATTGACGTCATGCTTAAGTTTTAGAAATATCAGAGTGAGATACTTTTGAAATTAAATATCAGGATACGTATACAATTTAGCGACATAACAAACACCACATTTTGCTTTGAAAAGATCCAGAATGAAATATGATATGGGAATCTACAAATGCTTTTTGTAACCGGAAAAAATATACAACCTCAAGCATTTAAAGGATTAAAGATTTTCCCCATTATATATTGTGCAAATAAAAGAGCAAGGATGACAGAAGCATTAATGAATGATTGGTTTGAAAATCATTTCATACCCCAGGCTCAGCAACATCTGAATTCAGTTGGTTTACCGGATGATGCAAAAATTGCCCTTATTATAGACAAGTGTTCGGATCATCTTCACTTAAAGTTTTAGTGAAATATAATGTATCCATATTATTCTTTCCTCCAAATTGTACGTCCATCATTCAGTCAATGGATATCGGAGTAGTGCGCATGCTGAAATGCAAATATGAAGTAGAATTTTTAAAATGCATGTTAGATTTCTTGAATATCTACAAGACTATTCATGAATTTTTTTAAATATTTTAGAAACACATATACCGTTTTAATTTTTATTCTCTTATATGCTCATGTAAAGTTAAATGCATATGGGGCATTAAATGCTCAAAAGTTTCCCAGCTTCTTCATATATCATATGATGATTTCAAGTGATCATTTATTGTGCAACATCAGCATTTTCTGAGTCAAAATTTATCACTCAGATTTCTATATCCATGATAAAATTCCTTAAACCAATTGTATATTAATCTTTGGGAGATGCTACTGTGAGATCTAGTATGTTTTGCTATCATGAAATGGTAACTAGATCTACTTATGAACACAAAAGGAAAAATGTGTAAAAGACCCTTTTATTTATCACAAACTGTTTAATTGAAGGCACGGACTTACATGCTTACACAAAACACTGACCACTTGCAGTGAGAAATTTAAGAATAAATTTAAAAGTAGAAATGTAGTCCTAGATTACACAATTCAAGTTAATCTAATGGGCTGACTTAGAAACCTACACCAGTGTTACACTAACTAGACAGCCAAAATGCACAACCACTGCTAAGATTAACAGCTGGAGAACAAAATAGCAAACATGTGCTTCACTAGCAAAATCATGCTCTGCCTAACCTTTTCATCTCAACAGTTTAAATGCTGTCATTCACTGACTTCATTTACATCCTGGCGAGGGAATGCATGAGGAAATAAGAGATTTCACGAAATATTGACAAATTAAAATAACTGTTAGTAAAACTAAATAGGATTCTAGACACTTCGTAATCTGAAGTTAAATTCTTTTAATTAACACAGAGTTTGTTGTGTCACACTTTTTTTTTTTAATTAAATCATGCCTCAAAAATCTGTTTCATTTAAATTAACATTTTATCACTGTCTTATTACTTTCAAAATGACATAGTAAAAGGAATTTTATAGCATTTCTCATTCTTTAACAGACAGTATTCTTGAGAAAGTTCAGATTTATAAATAATTCTTAGCACTGAAAGTTGCTTCTTATGCATTGCCTTGTTTTTTAAGAGTAGTAGTTGTAGTGTAGTATTTCTTTAAAAGGCTGCTGTAACCATCCATTTGTGATCCTAAGGTATATCATCATCTCTCATAGCACTTATTTTGTGCATCTCATTGGAGACGAGTCGGATTAGCCGTTTTTCACGAAGCAAACAATTCTAAATAGAAATGGTGCAGGGGAAAAAAATTAGGCCACACAAACCACCTGCTTCAGTTACTGTTCCATGGATACAAGGCAAGCTTGGCGGCAGAAAATGACCCCTGAAGTTCTTATTTTAAAGTAACAGACTATAGTTTCCCTAGTAGTCTCTGCAGAGTTTTAAATTAATATGAAAAGTAGCATATCCCATCCACAGGTTTATTTGGTGATAATATAGATATTATAGTATGGTTCTAGATCCAGAAAATACAGCTATCAAAAATTATGAAAGTGCCAGAGAGGTTAATGAAAATGAAAAAATTCTGATTGACAACTAGTCAAAATTCTCCACGCAGCAATTACAGAACTTGAACAATAAAACTTTTGGCTCTAGTGTAGAATTGGGTGCCCCTTCAATTAGCGACAAATATTTTTTCAATTTTGGTAATGAAACCTCACTTCTGGTTACCATGATAGTTTTAACTTTGTTTTAGCTTCCTAATTTTATTTAAATGAAAATAGATTGATGTGTACATGGACAAATTTAAGGCAGTGTGCAATGCCTAGTTTGTGCAATTCTAGGATGTTTTTCAAGTGAAAACAGATCGATTTGTACATGGACACAGAATTTGTTCAATTCTTTGACATTTTATTTAGGTTTTGAGTAGCGGCCATCTTGAAATTGTGCCTTCCTGGCGCCGATCTTGGCATAAAAAAAGAATTGAAAAAAATAAGGGGCAGTCAATTGTAAACTTTTACCAAACTTTTTAGCTAAACAAGAAATTATGTCTGTCTATAGAATTAAATAGAAAGTACTTAGCATAAAAACCAAAGCAAGAAATGTTTAATAAAGTAAAAAAATAAATATTAAGTTTTTTTTTTTTTTTTTTTTGTAAATTTTGATACCCTTTAGATCATAAATGCTTCATTATTTCATAAATCACAATTTCATATTTTTAAAATTTTTACATGCCATCTTAATAGATTTAAACTGATGATCTAAATCTGGAAAAATCTCAAATCGCGGAAGTCCCAAGTCTGGATCTTGGACTTCGTACTGTATACTTACTTAGGACTAAAATAAATAATAGCTTTTAACTATTATTTATAATATTATAATTTTTTAACGCTTAATTTTTTCCTTATAAAAATTTACAATATTTCTAGGAAATAAATAGCATCTTGAATTATATACTTTCCATAAAAATATCTAGTGCAAATACTACCCATTCTAATTCTGCTAATAATATGCGATTTTGAAGGATGTACATCTATCAGAATTCTTTTACTATTCTTAAATATACAAGTAAATTTTATCTTCACTGCCTGAAAATTCAGTTCATTTTTTTCCCCCCAAAGTCTGAAATCATAGTTTCACATCCTTCTGAAATTGTCATCAAGGCTGTTTTCATTTATACAGTGGCCGTCCAATAATTGAAAGATTTTTACAACCCTCTGCATTGCTATCTATTTTTATGACATAGGAAATTAATAGCTATAAATATATTTTCTAAGCAGAATGTGAAAATTTTAAACTATGCTTAGGAACTGTTATGTTAAAAAACTTTACATTCATGTAGATGTTAGATCATTAAAATAACTTTCCAGTGTAGAAGTAACATCCCATTCAACAGCCTGATTTTATCTATTATGAAAATTTCAGTGCATTGAAAATGAAATACTTTTGAAAATATTTTCGAATACCATACTGCACTAAGAACGAAGTTTATAAATCTGATAGATTATGGCTAACAGCAAGGGAAATCCAAAATTTGTCATCATGACAGTCTGGTTATTTTTTATGTCACATTTACTATATTTCAATTTCCTGGCCTTTCCTCAGCAGGCTGGATTTTTTTTATTATTATTACAAGGCAAATATCAACAAAATATCATTTTTTAAAAATTTTACATAGAACTTCTACACATTTACAATTTTAATTTTTCAAAAATATCTATAAAATATAAGGGAAATTAAGAAGATAAATTGAAGTGTTATTAAAAAAAATAATGATCTGAATCAAAAAGAT